TTAAAGAATTTTCCTATATATTTTTATGTAAAACTTTGGTCGGCCATTTTGGCCCCGTCCTACCCCCGGGGGTCATGATTTGAACAAACTTGAATCTACACTACCTGAGGATACTTCCATATAAATTTGATGAATTATGGCTCTGTCATTCTTGAGAAGAAGATTTTTAAAGAATTTTCCTATATATTTTTATGTAAAACTTTGGTCGGCCATTTTGGCCCCGCCCTACCCCCGGGGGTCATAATTTGAACAAACTTGAATCTTCACTACCTAAGGATGCTTCCATATAAATTTGATGAATTATGGCTCTGTCATTCTTGAGAAGAAGATTTTTAAAGAATTTTCCTATATATTTCTATGTAAAATTTTGGTCGGCCATTTTGGCCCCGCCCTACCCCTGGGGGTCATGATTTGAACAAACTTCAATCTACACTACCTGAGGATGTTACCCCATAAGTTTCATCTTTCCTGGCACAGTGGTTCTTGAGAAGAAGATTTTTAAAGAATTTTCCAATATATTTTTATGTAAAACTTTGGTCGGCCATTTTGGCCCCGCCCTACCCCCGGGGGTCATGATTTGAACAAACTTTAATTTACACTACCTGAGGATGTTACCCCATAAGTTTCATCTTTCCTGGCACAGTGGTTCTTGAGAAGAAGATTTTTAAAACATGCCACCAAATTTTCATTAATTCCCAATTATCTCCCCTTGAATGAGGGCGTGGCCCTTCATTTGAACAAACTTGAATCCCCTTCACCCAAGGATGCTTTGTGGCAAGTTTGGTTGAAATTGGCCCAGTGGTTCTTGAGAAGAAGTCGAAAATGTGAAAAGTTTACAGACAGACAGACAGACGGACAGACGGACGCCGGACAAAATGTGATCAGAAAAGCTCACTTGAGCCTTCGGCTCAGGTGAGCTAAAAAAGTTTACAATGAGAACCACAACGACTGACAAGGCACAAATGATCATAAATGCTAACTTGAGCCTTTATTTTAAAACATGTGTTACTATAAATAGAAATGGAAACCCAAATTATTATGCATTTCGGTTACTGCTCTCTGTACGTGTCGGTTACATTATGTCAGTTACAGCTAATGAAAGTTTGACTGCATTTTCCTATCCCTAATTTGAGGAAATAGAATGAATTTTTCTACACTTTCTTGATTAATTGCTAAATGTCTATTTATAAATATACGTTACTATAGGTAGAAATAGAAAAATACCCTTACACATTATTCTTATACATTTTTGCTAAAGCTTTTTAATACTCGTTATTCACCTTCCATCAATAACAAATAAAAACCGTTTGTCTGCACATTGTCCATCCCTGATGTTAGTAAAAAGTGCAAAAGTCTACATTTTCTCGAGAATTCGCAGTATGTCTATTTTTAAACATCTGTTACTATAAATAGAAATGAAAACTTATGCTTCTCATTCTGTATTTGATATAAGGCTTTCTTTTACTTGTTGGTCACCATATGCCAATAGCAGTTAAAAGCAGATAGTCAGCAATTATTCATGCAAACTTTTAGAAAAAAAGTACAAAAAATCACATTTTCCCGATATTTTGCATTACGTCTATTTTTAAACATGTGTTACTATAAATAGAAATGGACACCTCTGCTTCTCATTCTGCAGTTCATAGATGCTTTCTTTTACTTGTTGGTCACTATATGTCAATAGCAGTTAAAAACACATAGTCTGGAATTGTTCATCCAAAATGTGAGAAACAAGAGGCCCACGGGCCTTATAGGTCACCTGAGCATTATGCAACAACTTTCCAGTGATTGAATTTGATTCATGTTTTAAACCAGATGCTATGCTATTCACAATTTTGAAAGAGGCACCATTGATCATCATAACAATACACTTAGCAGTTGCTTAGTTTGTTTACTTAATACCCATAGGCAGGGTAGGGGAACAAAAAATGCATTTCAAGTTATCAGTATAATATTTAGCAATAATCAGTAATGCCCCTATCACACATCAACCCCTGACCCTTAAGCTTAGATACACACATTGCATAATTTTTGAAAAGGCGCCCTTGCTTTTCAAAAATATTTGATTAATACCCAGGAGCAGATTTCAAACAATTCATCCAGTTTCAGTATATATAAGTATAGTCCCCCCTATGGTACCCCTGACCCTGGGGCCTTGAAATTCACAATTCTGGAAGATTAGCAACTTTGCTCATAACTATATATAAGTAGTTCATCTGCTTAATACCCAGGAGCAGAGAAGAATACTTTCAAAGATTTACTGTATTTTCACTATATAATCAATACAGCCCCGCCCTATCACTAGAACCCCTGACCCTGGGGCCATAAAATTCACAATTTTAGTAGAAGCACTCTTGCTCATCATAACTATGCACTTAATTAGTTTATTTAATACCCAGGAGCAGAGAAGAAGATTTTCAAAGAATTCATGCATTTTCACTATATAATCTATAGAGCCCCGCCCTAACATCAGAACCCCTGACCCTGGGGCCATATAATTCACAATTTTGGTAGAAGCACTCTTGCTCATCATAACTATGCACTTAGTTAGTTTATTTAATACCCAGGAGCAGAGAAGAAGATTTTCAAAGAATTCATGTATTTTCACTATATAATCTATAGAGCCCCGCCCTTACACCAGAACCCCTAACCCTGGGGCCTTATAATTCACAATTTTGGTAGAAGCACTCTTGCTCATCATAACTATGCACTTAGTTAGTTTATTTAATACCCAGGAGCAGAGAAGAAGATTTTCAAAGAATTCATGTATTTTCACTATATAATCTATAGAGCCCCGCCCTAGCACCAGAACCCCTGACCCTGGGGCCATAAAATTCACAATTTTGGTAGAAGCACTCTTGATCATCATAACTATGTACTTAGTTGGTTTATTTAATACCCAGTAGCAGAGAAGAAGATTTAAAAAGAAATAATGCATTTTCACCATATACTTATTTAGCCCCGCCCTAGCACTAGAACCCCTGACCCTGGGGCCATGAATTTCACAATTTTGGTAGAGGACTCCATGCTGATTACAGTCATGCAAACAATTTGACTGCTTGATGTCCAGGAGTAAAGAAGAAGATTTTTAAAGATTGCATTAATTTTAGTGGTTTTTGCCCCACCCCCCAGGCCCAAGGGGGGCAGGGACCATGAAAATCACAATTTTTGTTCCCCTTCACCCATAGATGCTTTTTGCCAAATTTGGTTGAAATTGGTTCAGTGGTTGCAGAGAAGAAGATGAAAATGTTCAAATGTTAACGCACGACACACAACACACAACACACAACACACGACGCACGACGACGGACGAAAACAGATAGCAATAGGTCACCTGAGTTTACTCAGGTGACCTAAAAAGTACAAAAAGTGACATTTTTCCGATATTTTGCATTACGTCTATTTTTAAACACGTGTTACTATAAACAGAAATGGAAATCTCTGCTGATCATGCTGCATTCCATTGAATGTTCTTTTGTTCTTGTCAGTCACATTTTGTCAGTTACAGTTAATGACAGTAAGTCGGTAAATTGCACATCTCTAATTTGAGATTTAGTGGAAAATCAACATTAAACAGTTAATTTCATATGTGTTTATTTTTAGACATTTGTACTATTTATAGATGTGAGAGCCTATCCTCAATAATTTGTGAGTTATTATACTATACCTTGTTCTTATTAATGAAATATTGGAGAGATCCGTATGTTCATTATTTATGATTCAGTGGAGCTTCAAAATAATGGAAAATTGACATTTTTCAGCATTTTATGAGACATGTCTATATTTAGGCATTTGAAGCTATAAATAGAAAACGGAAATCCCTGAAAATAATATGCATGGTAGTTATTGGTGTCCAGTATCTGACATTAGCATATTGACTTTTACAGTATATTTCATAATTTCTTAGCAATGGCATCTTAAACTCTGCCCAAATTTCATTTTTTGGATTTTTCTGAAATATGTCTATTTTTAGTTACATGTTACTAAAAATAGCATTGAGATCCCACTCCAATTTTTTCATGAGGGGACATTACTAATACTGATGTTTGACGACACGCATATGATTTGAAAATTTTCCGTAGACAATTTTTTTTATTTAACCTAAAATTTCTCAAAAAATGCCAAATTTTCCATTTTTCACATTTTCAGAAACTATGCTATTTTATAGAACCGTTTTCTAAAAGTGGGGTTAATATAACTGGTTATATGCCCTGTGTTTTTTAACAGTTGATGTTTACTTATGATACAAAGATTTATATTTGAGTTCACTACATAAAGATAAAAATGCATTCATATTTCCTCAATTTTCATGTTTTTGTTTGGTCAAAAATGGCCGAAAATGGCCAAATTCAATGGATCCGTCTCCATGGCAACCGGGTGCACGTGGGAAACTTCTAACACCATATTTGCTGGTTTTGTACCAAGGTGCACCTGTGGTGCAAATTTCATCAAAATCGGAGATATGTCATTTCCAAGCCCTATAGTAAAAATTTTGGTGCTTACAGAGAATGCATGTTAACATGCAATTTTATATTTAAGAATTTGAGATTTATGCTAGTATGTGAATGGATCAATGGATATGTGTATTTATTTCTATTATGTGTAGCTTGTAACACGAACTTTGATTGGTTACAGAGTCAGATGTAAATTTCCGTGCACCCGGCTTGAGCCGGTGTAAATAAAACGTGATGTCACAATGCGTACTTTTTCTATGATAAAGACCAAATGACATGATGTCACGATGCATCGTAATAAGTAGTTATCTTATCGATAGATCGAGACACAGTTAATCAGACTCTGATGTTTACAAAGAATTTTTATGGGTAAATAAGAAATAAATTTGTTATCCAGATCCAACCAAGGGTGTGCAGGGATTTAAGGGTTGTATTCCATACACCCTTCGGCCTCAGGGTATATGGAATAAAACAATGGTGTAAATCCCCGTACACCCTTCATTGAACCTGGATAGCTAATATTGTAGGAGATTTACGAATACTAACCTATTTTCACTCTGCCTCTCTCTGCACCCTCCCCCATCACAAGAATATTGGCAGGTTTCTGTAAAACATGATCAAAAGATTAAATATCCTGTGTATTAATATCTTCAGTTCTAAACACTTTAAAACCAAATTTTATTTTTTAATTTGAAAATTGTCTGTCTGAAATCCATCTATGACTATCAATTTTTGTGTCTGTGAAAATATTACACATGAATACATATCAGAATGAAAGAAAAAGTGAGCAAGCTCACATACCCCATGCTCCCCCAAAACTCAAAGTGCTAAAAAGCCCGGAAAAAATGAAAGAATCGGAATTTCCCGGTAATATGCACATCTACAAATTGTGTCCTAAATATCTGCAAAGTTTGATGAAATTCTGTGCAGCGGTTTATGAGGAGTTGCGCTGACAAACTGTTCATCACTATATTCAAGATATCCCCAAAAATCTAAGTTGTAAAGTGCGGAAATTCCCAGAAAAATAAAGGATTCGGAATTTCCTGGTAAAATGCACATCTATACTTGTGTCCTAAATATCTGCAAAGTCTGACGAAATTCTGTGCAGCGGTTTATGAGGGGTTGCGCTGACAAAATGTTCATCTCTATATTCAAGGTATGGCCAAAAATCTAATTTGAAAAGTGCCAAAATTCCCAGAAAATAAAGCAATCGGAATTTCCTGGTATTATGCACATCTACACACTGTGTCCTAAATATCTCCAAAGTTTGACGAAATTCTGTGCAGCGGTTTATGAGGAGTTGCGCTGACAAACTGTTCATCTCTATTTAAAAGGTATGGCCAAAAACCTAAGTTTTTAGTGCGGAAATTCCCGGAAAAAATAAAGGAATTGGAATTTCCTGGTAATATGCACATCTACATATTGTGTCTTAAATATCTGCAAAGTTTAACGAAATTCTGTGCAGCGGTTTATGAGGAGTTGCGCTGACAAACTGTTCATCTCTATGTAAAAGGTATGGCCAAAAACCTAAGTTTTTAGTGTGGAAAGTCCCGGAAAAAATAAAGGAATCGGAATTTCCTGGTAACATGCACATCTATATATTGTGTCCTAAATATCTGCAGAGTTTAACGAAATTCTGTGCAGCGGTTTATGAGGAGTTGCGCTGACAAACTGTATAAAAGGTATAGCCAAAAACCTAAGTTTTTAGTGTGGAAATTCCCGGAAAAAATAAATGAGGAGTTGCGCTGACAAACTGTTCATCTCCATATTCAAGGTATGGCCAAATGCCTAAGTTAAAAAGTGCGGAAATTCCCGGAAAAAATAATGGAATCGGAATTTCCTGGTAATATGCATATCTACACATTGTGTCCTAAATAACTGCAAAGTTTGACGAAATTCTGTGCAGCAGTTTATGAGGAGTTGCACTAACAAAAAAACAGGACTGACTGACTGACTGACACTCTGACGGACGGGTCAAAAACATTATCCCTCAGGTGTAGGGTGGTTTCGCGCCGATTACGTGTTCGCGCCGAGTGGTATCGCGCCGGGTGGTTTCGCCCCATTTATCTACAGGTAAGGTATTGGTAGTATACAGAATGGCTTCCCGCGATTACCTGTTATTATATAACCCAGTAGCTTGTAATTAATGAACCCCAAGCGCTAATGTCATGTTATGTTGGACAATTATCCCATTTTGTAGTAACACCTTTGGCTTTAGTGAGGCCATTTTTAGCCAAATTATGACCATTTGATCAAATTTGATCGTCTAATTTGGAATAACTTAGGACTGGATGTTAAAATATGATAAATTATTTCTGTTGAAATATAATATTTATTTCGCAAATCTCGTTGACTTTTCAATGAAGGTTGACATTGTTTTTCATTTGATTTCATAGTTTTTCTGCAATGAAGACAGCTGACCATGACGATTTTTTGGGGTAGAATGAAGTTTTTGGATATACATGCAAAAAGCGCACGACTTGTCTCTCGTCATTATTTATAATTAATCTGCTCTTCATTAGCGATCAAACGATAATCGAACGACTACATGATAAGCGGTATCTTCAGTAATATAGCAGCGCGAACCCACACGGAGCGAATCCACTCGGCGCGAACAAGTGATAGGAGCGAACCACTCGGCGCCAACATGTAATGGGAGCGAAACCACCCACATTCATACCTCACGCAACTAGTTGCGTGGGGTATAATAAGAAGTTCAGAGCAATAAATATTAGAAAGTTTAAAAAGATCACAAAACTTGTGAATATACCTTGCATGCAAATAAAAAACTGGTTTACAGTAATATTTAATTCCTTTGTAAGATTGAGCATAGACTTAAACTGATGGCCTACCAGATCTCTGTGTAATACCCAGTTAGCGTGGAGGTAGTGAATTCCGTCAAGGATCTGGTACAGGAGAGACTTTACCATGTTCCTTGGGACATCAATCTGTTTTTTGTTAGCCTTTGCTGACCGATGAAATTTTATGATATGCTGAATGAAAAATAAATATCATAAACACACACTGAATGGTATATACTATTGCCCCAAACAATACAAAATTAAAATACATGAACTTGACTTTGTACAATGATTTCACTAAACTGATTTAACATACATCACAAATTAAATCTAAATGTACACAGTTGAGAACTTTATTATCTTGGAACACCTATCTCTAACACCAGTGATACTGTAAACCAACTTTTATTCGCGACGACTTTATTTCACGATTTATTAGGGATAAACTACTTCGCGACGATTAATTTTCGCGATTAATTCTTTTTATCTGTAGTTAATAGACATGTAGAGACTTTAAGGCCCGGTTCGCGGCGAGAAATATTGGCAATTACATGGCTCTCGCGAACTCCGTGAAAATTTCTCCCACGTGAATAAAAGTTGGTTTACAGTATGTTGAAGTGACGGTCCAAACTATTTTTCCGTTACTTTTTTAACTTTGCTATCTTGAATCCTCAGAAATCTCAATTTTAATCTTGGTCTTGTCAAGTTCCAGATTATGAAGGCTGGCTATTTTTTAATATTTACATATTGGATTGTGCAGCAGGCATTCTCTACGTCTCCAACATAGAGCAACATAAGGCATTCATGATTGGTAATCTACAAAATGGATCGCTGCAAGTCTTTGCTTCAACCCTGTAACATAAATTTAATAATTATCCTTACCCATAAGTCGTGTTCTGCATAGTCAAAGAGGAGCCAGACCTTTCTGTCCTGATGAGACAGAAAGACTTTCTGTAGGCTGATTACGTTAGGGTGCTTCAGCTCCCGCAGCAACTGGTCAAGAAAAACATTCATAAATTTTTAATAGAGAAAAAAGTGAAAGTATGAACTAATATATTATTATAGTACTATCTGGTTAGTTTTGGTTAGAAAAAATTATGAGTATAGTAAGAGTGTCTCCTTGTCTCCCTTTCCAAAACTAGTATTCACTGAGCCACAGATATGCCACTGATTAAAAAGTAATTTCTCCTTGAGAGACATTGTACAAACTAGCTGCAGGACTGTAGCTCTCCGAAAAAATATATATCGTCAGACCAGAGAGCTACAGTGCCACCCATTGTAAAAACTGTACATTTATTGTGCACAGTAAGTTGCGCTTAGTTCTGGATTATTTCTTCCAAATTCTTACCTCAATCAAGAAAAAGACAGATTTTTAAAAAATTCTTTACTCTTCTATGAAGTACGTACTACACTTGTAGTTGATATCTGCATGAAGTGTGTTTGACTGAATTATATTGCAAACCAAAATGGCAGTATAAATAGACAATATTTTTGATGATCTCAATTTCAGGAAACAAGGACTGACAAGATCAATTTCAACTGATGTGGAAACAGTGAAAGAATATGTTAGGAACCATGCTTAGTACACTGTAATATTTTGAGATGACAGTTTAAAAATGTGGAGAAATAAATCAAGAAACAGCACACTTTTTCATGCACAATAAATATACAGTTTTTTCAATGGGTGGCACTGTAGTTCTCTGGCCGGTCTGTCAAAATATTTTTTTTTCCGGAGAGATACAGTTCTGCAGTTATGTACAAACCAGCTGTTAGACCCTGCCCTAGTAATCAGTTCATAAGATGACATTCAGTGAATTCAGAAGAACATCCATGTTCTTCTTTGCACCGAGCCTTAGTTTATAGTGCTTCAACCGTCAGTCCTAATTCAGTAAAGTAATAAAGAATAACAAGAATGGAGCTACATTAAAATACTGTAGACATACTTTTTTCCACAGGGTCATAATTTCCTTTTAATCCGCAGCTAGAAAATTACGCGGATTTCTCAGACTCTCACTATATGCCTTACATTTATATGAAGTATGTTTGGACTAATTTCTGTGGAAAATTTGCGACTGCGCACATAGCATAAATAAATACCACATGGAAAAAAGCACTTCTACCGTACATGATTCCCACTTACAGCAATTTCCCTGCATGCTGACATAGATATCCCTGTCCCTTCTATCTGTTTTAAGGCATACTCCTTGCTCTCAGATCTGTAACATGCATATCAAATGAATATAACTAAGTACATTATTTCAGTGCAAGAGTTCATGTAAAATAAGAATTTTCCTTCTCTCATTTAGTAAATACAGGAAGACTTAATAAATCTCTCCGTGAGCATTCAGACAAGATAAAGGTACCTCAGATGGATCAAGCACAATCTCCTGATTTAGCTACATGGCAAGAACTAACTATTCAACTTTAATTTTTAACTAGTAAAAAAAATAGCTTCAATAAGCTTTTATAATAATTTTTTTTTATTTAGTTGAAAATTATTTTTTTTTCAGGGAAGAAATTTAGGAAAAACTCTTAGTTTGGTGATGTAAGAGCTTACATTTTCATACATATTTAAAAGAATGCATGAAAAACATTGCTTTAAAAAATTCCTACTTTTAGATAACATTTAAGCCGTACAAATTACAATCTCTTTATTAACATTTACATCTTGAATTCAAAGCTATATCTAGCTTTATTTTTTCTTTTCCGAATAGCCAAATTTCGCTTTTTTATTACCATAAAAAGCAATTGGTCATTTTTTTCAGGATATATTTTCCACTTATTTTTCAGTGTGGCATTCAGCTGTGTTTGTTCACCATTGGCCAGATAGCTCAGTTTGTAGAGCACCTGACCAGAGATTCAGGGGGTCATCTTCTTAAGACACTTCAAGCATAAGTATTGGGGCTATATAAAGCAACTGTTTTATGACCATCCTTACTTCTTGAAAGAGATTATACCGGTATTAATTGAGGTACTACTACTTGTAAATCCTGGGCAACAAGAAAAATTCAGCACAGTGTGAAGCAGTCTAGTTAGAATAATCTAACTGTGTCTCGGTACAGGCCCTCACCACAGTTAGAATACGTCCCATATACTTGTAATGTAGCAAATCAGAGCGGATCCGCTCCGAAACGATTTTGAAGAATATAAAATGATTTGCACTGGGAATAACTACCAAAATAATCAAAACAAACCTTCTTAAGATTGCTTATGCCTTTTATCCCCAAAAATAATCCATATAAATACGAAAATCCAATTAATTTTCTCAACGTTTTTCTCTCTATTCAAATTACGGCCATGTTTACATTCGGAACTCTCCAGATTGTTCCAAATAAATGCACTATGCGAGTTATCGCCCGTGTTTCTTTCTGCTACATTACGAATACACGGAACGAATTCTATTGTTAAACCGGGTCCGTAGGACAATATCATTTTAACGATAGAACATTCTATCTAGAAGCAGTCATATTTAACCTTCAACCTTGCCTAAAGCTTAATGCACAAACAGTGACTTACCCAGACAATGCACATCCATCCTTTTTTTAAAAACATGTTTAAAATTTGCAATGTTCAAACTATCACTGGTGATTTTTTTTTTTTCAAAATACAGAATAGTCACATACTTGCGACTCTTTGTCTACTTATTTTGTGTATGAAAATCTGCATATAAATAGCTTTTTCAAGGTTTTCCGAATAGATTGATAACCACATTGCTACTTTAAGCTATTTAGCTAAATCAAGAGACTATAATAATAATGGGCCTGTTCATAAGTTTGCTTAGATCAGAATGAATGGCAGTAACATATGAAGCAAAAAACGAGATACAAAGAACCACACCCATCCTTTCTTTTGGCCTTGTATACATGACCATATGTCCCTCTTCCAACTTTACATCCTTCAAAGTCAAATAAATCTTCAACTTTTTGTCTTTCGGCAGCTTTTTGTCTTTTGAAGTCATAATCCATTCTGCATTTTTCTAGTCAATTTGGTAATGAAAACGCTTTACTCTCTTACATAATTTCACATTGATACTAAGCGTTTCAAAGATTCCTAATTATTTTATAAATCTTAAAACCGGTCCCGGGTATAGGTTTTGTTCCGGGAAAAAAAACCTGCGAGGTAAGTGCACAGTCTGCATGTTTGTTATTTGCCTCTTTTTGAAATGTTTCAAGAAATGCCAGTTCGAATGCTGATCTTTATTCATAATGATATTGAGATCACAAAGATTTTCCATGATCTTTCTGTAGTAAGTTGCTTTACTCTTGCAGAGTGTGTGATCATTTTTAATCCGTATTATGTTACTCATTCACTATGCAAAATAAGCAGCAAAATATACGATGCGCCGTTATGGTGTTTATCAAAAAAAAAAAAAAAAAAAAAAAAAATGCAGTGAACCTGAAGCTGAAACGGTGGATGTGATGTTGACACCAAAGATGTTATTGGTCAAGTTAATAATTAATATATGTTTCTCATATTCTTTATAAACTATCAAAGAAGGGCGATCAAGACGTGTAGCTATAGCTTCAGATATTTAAAAATTTTATTCGATTTGTGAATTAAGTATTTAAAGTAAAATTCTCATTATTGGATTTTATGAAATTGTGATAAAACCACTGAAAAAAATCTCGGAAAAAAGATCTTTTATTAAAAAATTACATTTGGTATTCGAACCTTAATGCCATTAAAATCTGGAGTATCATATTGCTTTGAGACTAACACGCCAATGCACTTCAAGTATTTTTCGGAAAGATGCGAATATTTTGTCATAAAAGTATTTTTTTATTAAAAGTATAGATAGTCTTTGACCCATTTTTTTTTTTTCAAAAAAAAAAAAAAAAAAAAAAAATAAATAAATAAAATAAAAAATAAAAATGTGCATTTTTTTCGATTGAACTTAATTTTAGGAATACATGTACTTAAGGAATGAAGCTTATTTCAACTTATGTTATCCGATATAACATAACTTGGGGCAGTTAACGCTTTATAAACCGCGAAGCATTTATAAAAAAGCGTAAACTGCCCCAAGTTTTGTTATATCGGATAACATAAGTTGAAATAAGCTTTAATCCTTATAATTTAATTTCAATGTAGACAATGAGACCATTTTTTCCTTCGGAAAAAGTCTTCAAATATCGCATATTTTAAAAGTTAACGTCAAGCGGAGTAATACATTTTTGACGTAAATCATTGTGACGTAGGCAAGTTATGTTATACAAAATGGATAAAATCGTTTATCACTTCATGTTCGTCGCATTATAGACATTTTTCCCGTTAACACAGCACCCTGGCTAGCTGTATGATCTATTTTATAAGAAGGAAAATGGGGGGATAAGGCGTATAGAATGTCTATTATTAATCATATATGGCGTATTTTTGATAAGATAAGACTAACCAAAATTAAAAAAAATCTTTTTATTTGTTTTGTTACTTTCCTGTAAGTTACACAATTTAAATCAACTGGGTTTCAGATATCAAAGATTTAACACAATAACCGATTTATTTCTCTGAATTTAATTACAGCTCTAGTATCAGACACATTTTAAAAGTCAATTTAACTAAAGAAACGTGAGGTTCATGTTAAAAATCGGTGTAAATTTTAATTTGAAGATAAATATCAAATACTATATATGTTCATCTACACTCAAACTTGTATTTTTATTTTTTTTTAAGCTCAGATACACCAAATATAACTTTAAAATTGTTCCTATACAAATCTATGTGAAACTAGAGGTACTGTGAGCAATGAGCTGACTAAATGATATCCCCGCCTCCCGTAATGTCCCGTAATGTCCATGTTTTGCTATACTAGTATATTGTTTTACGCCCCGTGGGGATCCGGGTTAGAATAGGTTAGAATAGGTCCTCAGTACCCCCTTAAAAGGCGACTAAATGGGGCGGTCCTTCGGATGAGACCGTATAAATCGAGGCCCCGTGTCACAGCAGGTGTGGCACGATAAAGATCCCTCCCTGCTCAAAGGCCGTAAGTGCCGAGCATAGGCTAAATTTGCAGCTCTTCACCGGCAATGGTGACGTCTCCATATCAGTGAAATATTCTGGAGAGGTACGTTAAACAGTATACAATATATTGTTTTACGGTAATGTGTAAAGAGGAATAACTCGTCTTATCAAATGTTATCCAGAAGCTTCTATATGTGACGTCATAGGTAAGAATATAATGGCAATGTTCATGTTTTGCCATGGGAAACCTAAAATACGTGTCGAATAAAAAAGTAAAATAGATGGTGCACAATGGCAATATGTAATAAAGTGAAAGTTTCATTAAATTTCACTCAGTAGTATAAGAGGAGTTGCGGATAAGAGTGGGTACACCAAAGCGTAACAGACGGACGTACGGACGGACGGAAATACCGATGGCTATATACGCTCCCACTTTTCAAGCGGGGGGTATAGCTAGAGGTACTGTGAGCAATGAGCTCATTATAAATGATACCACCGACTCCCATATGAGTATAATGACAGTGTCCATGTTTTGCTGTGGGAAACCCAAAATATGTGTCGGATCAAAAAATAAATTAGGATTTGCACAATGGCAAAATGTGATAAAGATTCTCTGAAAGTTTCATCAAATTTCATTCAGTGCTCTGAGAGGAGTTTCGGATAAAAGATTAGTACCCCAAAGCGTAACAGACAGTCGGACGTACAGACAGACGGACGGACGGACAAACCGATTACTATAATACCCTCCCGCTTTTCAAGTGGAGGGTATAAAAATCTAACATTTAAAAAAAAAATTACTGAGCGATCATAAAAACTAGAGGTACTGTGAGCAATGAGCTCACTAAATGATACACCCTGCCTCCCATAATCAAGGAGTCATTAGCAGAAGGATAAAACGTACGCTCAAATAGGACCTTAGGTCCCCTGCAAATAGTTCGTCATTTGCGTAGTAATAAAACATTTTAGTATGGGGCGCCATTTAAATATTTTTAAGGTAGTTTCTGATATCAAAATATCATTTTGTGAAATCAGATATTCGATTTTTTGATACCAAATCCTTGGGATTTTCTGATATCAGAAAATATATTTTTTGAAATAGAATTTGTGATATCAGAAAATCAGAAAATCATTTTCTGATATCAGAAAAGAATAAAAAAAATTCTTGATATCAAGAAATCATTTTTTTGATATCAAGAATTCAAAGGAGAGAGGACTATCTAAGTTTTTGGAACTTGTGTCCAATCCCTTTGACATATTGTCAAAACAAATTCTTGATATCATAAAATAACTTGTATCTTCTGACATCAAGAAATCGAATTCTAGAAATCAAGAAATCATTTTCTGATATCAAAAAATCCTTGCGATTTTATGATATCAAAAAAATATAATTTTTGATATCGAAAATTCGAATTCTTGATATCAAAAAATATGTCAATTTCTGATATCAAAAATTCGAATTTCTGATATCAAGAAATCATTTTCTGATATCAAAAAATCGATTTCTGATATCAGAAATTCAATATGATTTCTTGATATCACAAAATATATTTTTTGATATCAAAAAATAAAATAAAAAGGCGAAGAATTTTCACATAAATAATTAATACTCTCTTGAATTGTAGAAAATCCCGAACTTCAGTGCCAGATTTGCTTTCTACTAAAATTTGTTGATCTTGGATTTTATTTAAGGATATTTTATTAATGAAAGAATTTAATAAGTGTAATTGATATTTTTTATATGCTCAGAATTTAAATAAGTTACTTTTTGGGATAAATCTGAGTAAATAATCTAGGTGTGCTGTAGGTCGGGCTTAGACTGAGAATTTCTCTGCAACCCCTTTCAACAGCCATTAGCTTCTCCAAAATTATTAAAACCCTGTAAAAAGACGACGGCATCCTAACATCCAGACATGTCCTAAACTTATTAAAACCCAACAAAAGTTTGCAACAAATTAGTGTGGCGGGAAGCTGAACAATCATCACATCACGGGGAGTATTCATTAATTCGATCGTAATTTTACTTGGTTCTTATTTTCTGATATCAAAAAATCGATTTTGTGATATCAGAAAATACTAATCATTTTTTGATATCAAAAAATCATTTTCTGATATCAAAAAAGGAAATTTCTGAAATAAAAAATTGTTTTTTGATATCAAGAATTCGATTAATTCTTGATGTCAGAAAATACAAGTTATCTTTTGATATCAGAAAATGATTTTCTGATATCAAAAATTCTATTTCTTGATATAAAAAAAAATCATTTTCTAATATTACAAAATCGATTTTTTGATATCAGAAAATAAAAAAAAAGATTTTTTTTGATATCAAAAATTCGAATTTCTGATATTAGAAAATCATTTTTTGATATCAAGAATTCGAATTTTTGATATCAGTAAATGATTTTCTGATATCAAAAAATCACTAATCATTTTTTGATATCAAGAATTCGAATTATTGAATTTCTTTTTTGATATCAGAAAATACCTCAGAACTATTAAAACTGCACCTCATATTTTAGGAACTCTTCAGGCATTAAAGGCACAAAAGTAAATTCATCGATATCAATCAGGAGACATCGGGTCTTTTAATATATTGATTGGATTTTATGTAATAGACAGTTTTCTTTGTCTTATTCCAAAATAATCATATTTATAACCTTATACAGATCTACTTTCTAATATATAGGTTAGCAAAAACGTGAAAGTAGTTAAGGAGACCAGTGGTCACCTTATATTGTACATCATTAGAGGGTACATTTTAGATAAATGGGGGCTGGGGCATTAGTAACATTTTATTGTACATCACAAGGGGGACCTGAGTTCACCTTATATTGTACATCATTTGGGGGACCATGGCACCTTAAACTGTACTTCAGTGGGGGGATCAGAGGACACCTTATATTGTACATCAGTAGGGGACCAGAGGTCACATTATATTGTAAATCAGTAGGGGGACCAGAGGTTACCTTATATTGTACATCAGTAGGGGGAACCAGAGGTCACCTTTCATCAGTAGGGGGTCAGAGATCACCTTACATCAGTAGGGAGACCAGAGGTCCCCGTATAATGAACAGCCGTCAGGGGACCAGAGGTCACCTTATATTGTACATCAGTGGGGGATCAGAGGCCACCATATATTGTACTGTATATCAGTAGCGGACCAGAAATCACCCTTTGGTACATTAGTAAGGGGACCAGAGGACACTTTAAATTGTGCATCAGTAGGGGGACCAGAGGTCAACTGATATTGTTCATCAGTAGGGGGGCCAGAGGTAACCTTATATTGTACATCAGTAGGCGACCAGAGGTCACCTTATATTGTACATCATTAGGGGTACCAGAGGTCACCTTATATTTTACATCAGTAGGGGGACCAGACGTCACCTTATATTGTACATCAGTAGGGGGACCAGAGGTCATCTTATATTGTACATCAGTAGGGGGACCAGAGGTCACCTTATATTGTAGTGTACATCAGTGGGGGGGGGGGGGGGCAGAGGTCACCATATATTGTACATCAGGGGGGGGGGGGGCAGAGGTCACCTTATATTGTATAATTGTAGGGGTACCAGAGGTCACCTTATATTGTACATCATTAGGGGGACCAGAGGTCACCGTATATTGTACATCATTAGGGGGGACCAGAGGTCATCTTATATTGTAAATCAGTAGGAGGACCAGAGGTCACATATTTTATATCAGTTGGGGGATCAGAGGTCACCGTATATTGTAAATCAGTATGGGGGACCAGAAGTCACCTTATATTGGACTGTACATCAGTAGAGGGGCAGAAGTCACCTTATATTGTACATCAGTAAGGGGATCAGAGGTCACCGTATATTGTACATCATTAGGGGGGACCAGAGTTCATCCTATATTGGATCAAATAAACGAACGAACTACCTAGTAATGATGAGCAAGAGTGCATCTACCAAAATTGTGAATTTCGTGGCCCCAGGGTCAGGGGTTCTGGTGTTAGGGTGGGACTCTATTGATTATATAGTGAAAATACATTAATTCTTTGAAAATTTTCTTCTCTGCACCTGAGTATTAAATAAACTAACTTGGTATATAGTTATGATAAGCCAGAGTGCTTCTTTAAAAATTGTGAAATTTAGGGCCCCAGGGTCAGGGGTTCTGGCCAGTGTTAGGGCGGGGCTCTATTGATTATATAATAAAAATGCATTAGTTCATTGAAAATCTTTTTCTTTGCTTTTGGGTGTTAATTAAAATAACTAAATACATAGTTATAATGAGTAAGAGTGCCTCTTTTAAAATTGTGAATTTTAGGGCCGCAGGGTCAGGGGTTTTGGTGTTAGGGTGGGGCTCTGTTGATTATATATTGAAAATGCATTGATTCTTTGAAAATCTTCTTTTCTGCTTCTGGTTATTAAATAAACTAACTAATTACATAGTTATGATGAACAAGAATGCCTCTTCAAAAATTATGAATTTTATGGCCCCAGGGTCAGGGGTTCTAGTGCTAGGGCAGGGCTCTATTGATTATATAGTGAAAATGCATTAATTCTTTGAAAATCTTCTTCTTTGCTCTTGAGTATTAAATAAACTAACTTAGTACATAGTTATGGCGAGCAAGAGTGCCTCTTTTAAAATTGTGAATTTTAGGGCCCTTGGGTCAGGGTTCTGGCCGTTGTAAGGGCAGGGCTCTATTGATTACTAGTATATAGTGAAAATGCATTACTTCTTTGAAAACCTTTTTCTGTGCTCCTAGGTATTAAATAAACTAACTAAGTACATAGTTATGATGAGCAAGAATGCTTCTACTGAAATTATGAATTTCTTGGCCCCAGGGTCAGGGGTTCTGGTGTTAGGGCGGGGCTTTATAATGATATTATAGCGAAAATACATTAATTCTTTGAAAATCTTCTCTGCTCCTGGGTAATAAGCCGATGAACTACCTATGTAGTTATGATGTGCAGGGGTTCTTCTTCCAGAATTGTGAATTTCCAGGCCCCTGGGGTCAGGGATACCATGGGGGGGGGCTCTACTTAAATACTGCAAATGAATTGTTTGAAATCTGCTCCTTGGTATTAATAAAACATTTTTGATAAGCAAGTGTGCCTTTTCAAAAATTGTGCAATTTGTGAACCTAGGGTCAGGGGTTCATGTGTGGTAGGGACACTTCTTATTATTGCTGAATATTAATGATTAGTTGATATGCATTTTTTGTTCCCCTACCCTGCCTCTGGGTATTAAGGAGGCTAAGTAACTAAACTAAGCGAGTGCTAAGTTCATGGTTATGATTAACAATGGTGCCAGCCTCTTTCAAATATGTGAATGCTGTAGTATCTTACTTAAACCATGTACATGAACCAAATTCTATCATTTGAAAGTTGTTGCATGGTTCTCAGGTGACCTATAAGACCCATGGGCCTCTTGTTAAACTACATGTAAAACTGTAGGTATTGTTAGCAAGGGAGCCCCTTCCAGAATTGTAAATTTTAAGGCCCCTGGCTCATGGATACCATTGAGGTGTGGTGCCCCAATTAAGCCATACGAAGCATGCTAAGTATATAGTTATGATGAGCAATGATTTTTTTTTTTCAAAATTGCGAATGTTGTAAAGAACATGATGTTCAGATGATCTATAAGACCCATGGACCTCTTGTCGTATTCTTATAAGAGAACCTCTGGTATGCCGTTAATATGCATTTTATTTGTAACCTCTGGTCCGCCCTTATTTTCTTTTGAGATGTATCTTAGTTAAGACGAGTCTAGAATCGTTGATGCCTTATCTCTACATTCATATAAATTTAATTTTATATCTGTTTTCCTTAAAAATGTACAAAAGCGGGGAACACTGATCTCCCTATTTTTTTTTCAAAACAAGGTGACTTCTGGTCCCCATATGATGTACAATATAAGTTGACCTTTGGCCCGTAATAATGTACATATGAGGTGACCTCTGGTCCCCCTACTGATGTACAGTTAAGGGTTACCCTGGTCTCCCTATTAATGTATACATAAGGTGACCTCTACCTGTGGTCCCCCAGTTGAACAAAATAAGGTGACCTCTGGTCCCCCTAATTATGTACAGATAAGATGACTTCTGGTCCCCTACTGATGTACAATATAAGGTGTCCTCTGGTCCCCCTACTGATGTACAATATAAGGTGAACTCTGGTCTCCCTACTGATGTACAATATAAGGTGACCTCTTGTCCCCTATTGATGTACAACATAAGGTGACCTGTGGTCCCCCTACTGATGTACAATATAAGGTGACTTCTGGTCCCCCTATTGATGAACAATACTGTATAAGGTGACCTCTGGTCCCCCGACAGATGTTCAATATAAGGTGACCTCTGGTTCCCCTACTGATGTACACTATAAGATGTCCTCTAATCCCCTGACGGATGTTCAATATAAGGTGACCTTTGGTCCCCCTACTGATGTACAATATAAGGTGACCTGTGGTCCCCCTATTGATGTACTCTGGTTTCCCTAATGATGCACAATATAAGGTGACCTCTGGTCCCCCTACTGATGTACAATGTAAGGTGACATCTGGTTCCCTTAATGATGTACAATATAAAGTGAACCCTGGTCATATAAACTTTTTGTTACGTCTGTTGTCCGCATAAAGATTATGGAAACACGCAGGGTCTTATATTGTACATCAATAAGGATTTCATAGCTACCAAACTGTAGTATATGAATGAGAGAAAGGTAATCTTATGTTGTACATTATAACGATGTCACAGAAAGTTTTAAGTAGGCAGTAATTTAAACTGGTGGTATGTTTATAATTGTTTTTTAATCCACTCAAAAAAAAAGTTGCTACCCTAACTTTTTGACAGGGAAAAAGAGTGTACAATTTCTCCGAATTCTCTAAAAGTATGTACATTTTATCCTTCTGCGAGTCATTAAGCATTCTATTTTCTTCCTGGTTTTAAAATTGACAATCGGGCCTGGAGACCATAAGCTGAGAATAGACTTAAGTCAAAATTTTGATTTTGAATAGCTAAAAGTTAAAGTCACGGGTCTTTTCAGGAAGAGACCTTTTAAAAGCCAAAGTCCCATTTCACGATTGGCATTGACACGAAATTTAAAGATCCTTTTACTGCTCAATATTACCAACCAGGATTTGAACCTGGGGCTCCTGAATCACTTACTAGTCAGGTGCTGCGTCAACTGAGCTATCGAACCTATCTGACTGCCACGATTGCAAAGATGCCAAAACCCATCGATTACCTATATAAAGGTTAAGATAATTTCAAGCTTGCGGTAAATACAGAAATTTCCTGACTGTGCATATATAAACTACTCATTAATCATTGTAGGGTCACATTGTGATATGTATCTGGATTTAACCCTAAATAACGTCCTTATTTATCTGATATAGTTGATATCAATTTTCACCAGTTTCCATGTGTAAATCTGACATGTGCTAACACTACTCTCTCAGATAATACGGAGCAGATAAGGATCACAACCAGAAATGGCGGACAGAAAGTCGGAGCGTCAGGTGGGGATCATAGGAAGGTCAGTCTGACTTTTGTATTAGTTAACATTAATTATCATTACTCATACATATCAGTGGCGTGGGTCTGTGGTGTTTAAAGATCTTTGCATTGTTAGAAAAGTCATATGGTTGCATGCAAACAACAATTAAAATTTTAGGGGTCATATGGGCTCTCAACTTTAATAATATTAGCCCACATTGATATTTTGGGCCCAAAACTTTCTCTCCTCTTTGTTGTAGAATTCTTGACCTTTTTGCAGTTTTTCGTTTCCCTGATGATTTGACACCATGATTGAATGTCCTTCTTCATTTTGATATCTTGCAAAGTTGTAATGTTTAAGGAGATTCAGGGTCTAAAAACATTTTTAGGTTGGAAACAGTGAAAATCAAAGTGCGTTCATCAGTAAAATCAAAGCATAGTCGGGTTATTGAAAAGATCTGATAATATTATTTCTCGCCACGTGGGTGATTACATCTTCAAGAGTTAGAAAAAGCCAGAAATTGTGTCTGTGGGTGACCATTGGGCGTGTAGTTGTTTGCAGCTCTGTTAAGGGAATGGCCAATGACGCTAAACTTATATCTCTACAATATCCCATGCCTTTATTATTTCATTCTGTAGAGAAATCACGAATAACTGGACATTGATGAACCAGTCCTGGATAACATATGAACAGTTTTCTAAGACATTTTTCATGTTTTAAACCCAAAGAATATTTTATTAATTTATTTGAACTAAGATTTCATACCTACCTCAGCACAGTCTAAAAATACCTGTAAGATATTTTTGAAATGTAAACCAAGACTAGATAAACATCATATCATGTCTTTATAAACTTTTTCTGAGTTGTCTATAGTTGTACATGTTGTCTAAAACAGAGGTACAAAAATTCAAAACAAGATGTTCTTACTTGAGCACAATTGGCATTTTCTGTAATGGACTTTATGGATTAAGATCTTAAAATTAACCATCTCTTATTCTGTATTCTCAATTCTGTTCGTTTGAAGTTCATTGATGATCGATGCATTCTTTTTTGATTTAATACATTCTGACCACCAGATAGTTTAATTTAGATGTATTAGCTCGAAAGAAATGCATGAAATCTGCAGAGCACCTTCTCAAATACATGAAATAAAAAATATCCCTATTATTTACTGATAATGTACAGTTTTACAGTCTGTAACGGCTTTGTTCTATGATTTGTTCATTCTTTAATGTTCATGTCCTTTATTACATGCATCATATAATAAGGAATGGAACAAAGTATATTTCTAGAACTTCTTTTGTCAGCATATTGTTTAAGAATGAACTTGTCTTAAATTTTTTTAAGATACCGAGTTTATACATTTCAGTGGTTTAATAGGACATAGCTTTGCTATGCTTTATGCAGCAGCTGGATATCGAGTGCGCATGTACGATATAAAACCGGAACAGGTCCAGCACGCTTTATCCATCATTGACGACCAACTTGAGCATCTAGCTGAAAATGGATTATTGCGAGGAAAATTGACAATAAAGGAGCAAAGGTCACTAATCACAGGAACGAACGACTTTACCGAGTGTGTCAAGGACGCCTTCTTTATACAAGTAAATACATACAGTTAAGATAGTCTGTTCCCCAGTTTCTGTTAGATATTTAAAAATGCTTTAAAAATCATAAAATTCTCATAGTAATACATTTATACCTACTCAGCATTTTATTTCTTCAAAACTCATAATTAAAACAGTTAATAAGTATAACAATTAAAATGGAGATATCTGTGATATAAGTTTTCAGGAAACGTGAATAAAGCACCAATTACAATTTTAGCCTGAAAATTGGGGGTAAAAATCTTAACCCTATACAAACTGCAAGACATGAAAACATCTTGAAACATATTAAAAGCATAAAATGAAAATTGTAACACAAAACATTTCAATTTTCAAGCGTCATTTTCAGACTTATTCAATGGAATATACAATTTTAAAAGTTAAATGCTTTTTAAAAAACATGCAACATTAATCTTCAGTTCTGTTACAAAACGTTTCAAACTGGCCATAAAAATTTCAAAGATGCATTGAACAAGTAGAACAAATCCGCGATATTCTAAAAAGTTGTGAAAATACTGGATGCCATACTTACCATTAAGTGTTTTTTGGCAGGAATGTGTGAACGAGAGGCTGGAGTTGAAGCGGGAGGTCCATGCTAAGATCGATCCCATATGTAGAAAGGACGCCATTATCTCAAGCTCCGCTAGTGCTTTGGTTCCGTCTCTCATTTCTGAGGGTCTCTCCAACAAAAACAGATTCATCGTCTGTCATCCGGTAATTGAGAGAGAGATTTTATATAACTTTAAAAGTCTACACCACCTGAATACGTCATACGCTATGGAAGAAAAGCCATTCTATTTACATGTGTACAAAATACTTTTAAACATCTAATTTTGTAAGTAGATACAATAGTTTTTCACCTCATTCTGCCGTGCTGATTAGAATTAATATTTCCCCAGACAAATCCCCCATTCTACGCCCCATTAGTGGAGGTGATTCCGGCCCCGTGGACAGACCCAGAGGTCGTAGTCACGACAAAGGAACTGATGACAGAGATTGGACAGGTGCCCGTTCTGGTGAAGAAGGAGATTGACGGCTTTGTCCTCAATAGGATTCAGTACGCAATCATTGGGGAATGCTGGAGACTATATGAGGTGTACATTTACTTACCAAAAAATTAGCAGAGTTATTTCTTGTAGATTTCACATTTATCCTATATTAATTGATTAATGTGATGGACATAATAAAATCACCAACAAAAAGTTTTACCCATTATAATAGCTCTTTATTTGTCTTTAGGAAGGAGTAATGAGCGCGGAGGACATTGATAAGGTGATGTCGGAGGGACTCGGACGGAGGTACGCCTTCATGGGTCCCCTGGAAACAGCCTTCCTCAACGCCGACGGTAAATAATTGTACACATTGTTAGTAAAGCAGAATAAGATTCTTAGCTGTGGTTAATTTAATTAGTCCAATGTTTACTATTTTTGTGACAAGCGGGAGTCTTCAGCTTTCCCAATGTCAGTTTTCCTCTTTGGGTACTTTGACCTACAAATTGTTTTCAAAATTCTCCAGCTTATAAGGTACACAAGAACTTTTTCTGAATACAATCTTTTTTTAAACCAAGACATGCTTCTGATGAAGATCTTGACGTTACAGGACTGTAAAAAGTCTCGTTTTAATTCTGCATTTCGCACATTCTATGGTCGTTATATTGACATTGTTTGCAAAATACAGTTTATCGTTGGATCAACGTTTGACTGACATGTTTCATATTTAAGCACTTGTTTTTATACTCATTTTAAATACTGACTTCTCTGTTAACCTGACCAATATAAGGGCTTACAGAACATGTGGCCGACCTGCAGGGGATACTTTTGCCTCTTGGGCACCTGGACCCCCTCTGGTTTTTCCAAAGGTCCGCGTGTTTGTCCTGTTCATGATCTGTATCATCTGAAGAATTTTTGAGATAAATACCTATATCCACATCTTTCCGTTTCCCCTGTACACAAATACTGTGAATGAGGAAAAAACTTTTTCCCCTTTTTAATTGCAGGCATGCACAGCTATGGGGATCGGTACCGCGACATGATATACAGAGTTCAAAGCTCGTTTGGTCCCCCGAAGAAAATGGAGGGACCCACTCTGGAAAAAATACACAACGAAATCGCAGCCAGAATCCCGCTGGATAAACTTCACGAGAGACGAAAATGGCGGGACATTCGTCTTGCATCACTCCAGAAGTTAAAGAACGAACTAGACGAATCTCATTCATAAACATTGCTTTAACTAGAAATATGTTTCTCTTCAAGTTGATGTTTTAATGTTTTTCTAGAGATTGGTGAAGAAAAGAAAACTTCTAACAAAAACTTTTTGTAAAGTTTTTGTCATACTATTATTTGAATTTATATTTTGTTAATAGCAAAGTGTAACAAACAATTTTAAATATAGAGAACAGTACCAACATTTTTTTAAAAGTCATCGATATCCCTTCGTTTTATTCTGGAAAGGAAGTAGAATATCTATTACACTAATGCACCAGACCCACTTACTGTAAAATCACATATTTTTGTGGGGTAAAAATTTCGTGGTTTGAGTAAAATCTCTTGGTTCGTGGGGAATTGAATTCATGTATGAAGAATTGTTGAATAGTTATGTATATAACATTTTACATTTCGTGGTTGACATGAATTCGTGGGTCTCTTCATACTTCGAAAACAACGAAAATTAAACCCCAACGAAATTTTGTGATTTCATTGTATATTTGATTTGAAATAAACAATGATAGAATTTGTGGTTTGATTTTACCTGTGGAATAAGATATAAACATTTAATGAATATGGCAAATGGACAATAAAACCTTTTTACTTTGAATGTTTGTATACCTGCTCTTATCCTATTAGGAAGGAATTCAAGGTAACCTTCAATTTATACAGTAGAAGAGATAGGACAGACTAGTTGAAATGATGTAATATTTGCAAGTCTTGGTAAGAGACACAAACATTTGAGCGAGTTAGCGAAACTAATTTATCAAATGACATAATTTTACATGTTTTGTTAATGTCATTGGATTTAGACTATTTTCGAAATTTTGTTATGTAGCCTCTTGAAAAAAAGAAACGCAAAAAATCACCAAAGATGAATCCCATAAGACTTCGTTTCACCCTTTATAATACACGTACAATCACATTATCTCTATAGATATTATTAGTTTCTCTCCTTTAATTTTTTTTATTACAAATATATTAAAAGTCAAAACTCAAACCAGAATTCTTCAATTACGAGGGCTGTTCAGTAAATAATGTCCCGAACTCTATGACATACAACAACTGTGTTAGATGTCATGTGACATTAAGTTTGACTTTCTCTCATTATTTAATCTTTAATGAATTTATATCAGTTAATGTGACCACTTTTCATCTCATAATTTCATTATGAGAAGCTCGAAAACAAGGGCTATTAGAGACACTGCATTAAAAATGAATGGTAAAGAATCAGTAAACTACAGTGAAATTAAACACTTCATTTTAGCTGCTGTAAAACTTGATAAGAATCCCAAAGAAATATTCATTGCAATTTGTGAAATTTACAGCAACCAGTGTCTGTTTTATAGACACATGAGCAGGTGGATTTCAATGAACAATAATGATATAATGGGCATCAAAAATGGGTACCGTCCTTGGCGACAAGGACTTACAACCAATGTTCTATTTGCCAAAATTCAACAAATTATAACTTATTTTGATTGACTTTAAAACACATAGCAAATTAAACAGGCATCAATGTCGGGATAGTTCACACCATTTTAAAGAGACATTTGACAGTAAAAAAGTAAAGTACTAAATGGTAACCCTATGTTTTGAAAAATGAGTGAAAACGACATCGTGTAAGAATATCAACATAATTATTTAAAAAAACCAGAAATTGTAGTTATCCACGTTTGTCTGAAATTCAAACAATCAACTACACTTGAATCCATTGATTTATTACCCTCAAAACATTTTTACAATAAGATGCACTTGACAAAAACAGCAAATGTCTGAAAAGAGAAAAGAATTACCAGAGGACAAAGACAGTTTTATATGCCATTTTCTCAAATATTAGTGGTCTTGTTGTTCAAATTCCTATTCGGGAAGGCAGTTCAATTTTTTGAGGAGTCTAGAAAGCAAATTTTTGGCAAAAAATCGATCTGAGATCGAGTGAGGAACTATAATCAGGAATCCACTACATTAAATTACGTCATGACAGCGTCCAAACCAACACGCCATGAAGAGTAAAGGAGTTTTAGAGATAAAAAGAAAGGTAATATTTTGTCACACAATAATATTCGCCATATCGATCTGTCACCTTCTGGCGTGTTTCATTTTCCAAATAAAAAAAAAAACCACCTTTCAGTAAGAAGGAACAAGTTCAGGAAATCATTGGATCTGTCATAAACCAGTATACGAAGGGCTATACTCAAAAATGATTTCTAAAAAACAATTAGAAATTGCATAAAAATGTTACGTACGGACATGTGTTTTAATTCAAAAGGAATTAAATCATAAATAAGTGTCTTTTGCTTCTTTCCGAGCACATTATTTATTGAACAGCCGTCGTACATACTGATAAGGACACTCAAAATGCGAAAAACTCCATTTCTCTGAACCGTTAGAATATGTGTCTCCAAGCCTAGCCCTCGTCATCTCTCTTTGCTAAGCATCAATTTAACAACAGCACCATAGAATTTCCTTTTTTCTTGCATATTTATTTCCGCAATCACACCCTGTTATTGTACATGGTATATTGTAACCCTGCATGTTCATCGTCGCAACGACAATGTATGCCTGGCAGTGTTTTTGTTCCATTGGTATATGTCGTCGATCGCTGCCATAGTCTTGAGCAAAATATTGTAGTCAAGCAACGTCAAACAAACAAATACTTCGACATTCTTATCTTGAACAGAAAGGCTCTATAGCTATATATCTATCAGAGGTAGAAGGGGTTCTTTATATGAGAAAATCAAGCTAGAAGAAAATGATATATGTCATATCTCTACTGATTTTTCCTTAATATATAAAATCATATCGTTAAAATTCCTATCCAAAAGTTCATTTACAACTTGCAACAGTCATAGAGAGCAAACCTTTCTGCATATGCAATATTCATTCCTGCTGGATCATTCAGTGATACATGTATATGTAGAGATAACCTTTAATATACAGTACTTTTCTTTTAAATTTTATTTTGATTGTATTAATTTTCACTGCATGGTTTCATTTGAATATCTAATGTGTATTTCCACGTGTAATGAAACAAGATTAATTGCAGTTTTCATTATATACAGATAATACAGTGCAACTGCAGATAAGGATTACAACCAAACATGGCGGACAGAAAGTCAGAACGTCAGGTGGGGATCATAGGAAGGTCAGTCAAAAGACTGGATTAATTAAATAATATTCTTCATTCAAAATTCATGGCGTCTTATATAACATTGTAAATAAAGGAAAACAAACAAATGATTATGACCATTAACAACATAACATATCTTTCAACTTTTAATTTGCAATTGCATAGATTTGATCATAAGATAGCGCTAGAATCAAAACCCTTCTTGTCCAAGATCATGATTTAAAATATAACTCTGACTAATTGAATATCTGTTATGAACAATTTCAGTGGTTTAATAGGGCATAGCTTTGCTATGCTTTATGCTGCAGCTGGATATCGAGTGCGCATGTACGATATAAAACCGGAACAAGTCCAGCATGCATTATCCATCATTGACGACCAACTGGAGCATCTAGCTAAAAATGGATTATTGCGAGGAAAACTGACAATCAAAGAGCAAAGGTCACTAATCACAGGAACAAACGACTTTACCGAGTGTGTAAAGGACGCCTTCTTTGTACAAGTAGATATATGCACTTACAATTGTTCATACGTAGTTATATGGGAATATATGGAATAAGGACAGGGCCACGTATTTCACTATCGCACAATCGCACCAGTAATGCTTGCATGGGCGAATGACATGATTATACATTGATTATAGTACGACTGCGCGATGAAGCAATAGTGCCTCGACGATTGAACATGATTATGATAAGGTGATGATTCAGTAACGAAGACGCATATGATGAAGCCATGTCCGCTATCGCATCCTAATCATAACGCTATTTTCCGTCGCAACATTGTCGCACATTTGCGACATTGTCAACGCACCATCAACACAATAGTCGATGTGCTATAGTGAACCATGTGGTCCAATTTATATTGCAAAGGAATCAGAAGAATCAGAATGTCTACAGGTTGGGTCTGGTTGGTACTGTATTGTGTAATTGGTCCATAGGCTCCAGGGATGCATGAAAGAGGCCACTTCTGAGAAAGTTCTGTCAAATTTGATTATGAATGAATTGTTAATGGAAAATGGTTTACATTATAAATAAGGAGAAATGTTCCAATATCTCAGTGTTATAAAATCCTTAATGTTCTAAAAATATTGAAATACCCCTAATCTTAGCAATTATTATTTGACAGGAATGTGTGAACGAGAGCCTGGAGTTGAAGCGGGAGGTCCATGCTAAGATAGACCCAATCTGTAGAAAGGACGCCATTATCTCAAGCTCCGCTAGTGCTTTGGTTCCGTCTCTTATTTCTGAGGGTCTCACCAACAAAAACAGATTCATCGTTTGTCATCCGGTAATTAAGAGAGAGATAGAGTATTCTCATATTTATAATTATGGGTAGACTTTACTTTACCGGTCCCCAGATCCGCAAGATACTCGCGCTCATTGAACTATGACGTAACAACTACTGAACTACGTCACTCAACTGAAATGGGTTAAATTTGCACACTATTCGACTGATTAGGGTTTGTCTTTCACCCACCTGAGAGATTACGGTTATTCCTTGCACTAGTATTCGACTGATTAGGGTTAGTCTCGCATCCATCCGAGAGATTAGGGTTAGTCCTAGCACATTATTCGACTGATTAGGGTTAGTTTAGCATCTGCCCGGGAGATTTCGTCTAAACGTCTTATTCCTTGCATACCATCAGATGGATTACGGTTAGTGACTCGTTCTATTAAATAAGTTAAGAAATTCAGTTGTTACTGTAATTTTTCCAAGATCATAATTCAGCTTCAAAGGCATTTCGTTCGTTTGTTTACATTTAAGAATGGCTAAGTCCGAAAGAAATGACACTAAGCATGCGCAGCATGCGCTTCGTTCAGAATTATTCTTTGTCGATTTTTTTCCATGAATAAACAATATTTATTAATTTTTTTTAGAGAACGAGGTTAAAAACTTAAAAGTTTTAAATTAAACTTTTAACCGTAGAATTCGATATTGGGGTCAAAAGGCCGAAAAACTTCGTATTTAATTTTTTTTCGAGCGCTCACGCGATCTCATGTATGCTGAAGTCGTCTTCGGCGACACTACATTTTAGCGCGTTTTTCTGGGGACCGGTAACGTAAAGTCGTTCCATAATTATTTGTCAGTACTCTTCAAATTTCTTAATGAATTAGGTTGAAATTCTGTTCTTAAGACAAATCCTCCATTCTATGCCCCTCTGGTGGAGGTGATTCCAGCTCCGTGGACAGACCCAGAGGTCGTAGTTACGACCAAGGAACTGATGACAGAGATTGGACAGGTGCCCGTTCTCGTGAAGAAGGAGATTGACGGATTTGTCCTCAATAGGATTCAGTACGCAATCATTGCGGAATGTTGGAGACTATATGAGGTGTACTTTAACACGTTTATCTGGATTCATTTTGAAAACAATAGAACTTGGATTGATTTTTATGAATTGTAAACAAAATAACACTGAGAAATCAATCGTTGTGATGACTTCAACTACATGTTACCTGTAAGTAATAAGTTTGAATTAA